TGCACTTGTTCCTAGTAGCTTCTTGTTACTACTAGTAAGGCACCTGTTACTACTAGCGTGGCACTTGTTACTACTAGCTTCTTGTTACTACATGTTACTACTAGTAAGGCACTTGTTCCTAGTAGCTTTGTATTTTATACGACAAAAGACATATGACAAAAGACATGCCACTGACGAACATGATACTGCATATACAAAAGAGAGCAACATGACAGAGGCTGGTACCAACATCTAGGTGAAGCAGTATGCACAAACAAAAGGCCATCTGATGCGTGGCATCCAATTTCCAATTTTGTAAGTGTGATACTGCTGAGAAAGGTACCGGAAGTGGCACCGTTTCCAGCGATGTGCTTGTTGGCATGCTCGACAAATTATGAGAACAGTCATCATAGTTGAGATTTGGACCAGCAAGCGCTTGTTCTGATCATTGGTACTACATCATGAATCATGAGGTTTGCCACGAATCATAGTTAGGGACACCTGCTCAGATTTGAGCCCAACCCACTTGGATTAAACTGTTTGTGTCTGTCTTTCTTTAAGGTGGAAGAAGTGGGTCGGGAGGAAAACCTTAATGTTGTTTCGCTCATATGCTTTGGAGATATTTGGAGATATCAGTTTTCGGTGTGGAACTGGTATATAGTTTGTTTGATATACTCTATGCTTTGGTCCTGAAAACACGTTTCCACTAGTTTTTTTTTTTACATGCTTAGTGGGAACAACGGAACATCGGAATATCTTATTCACTCCCACAAGTTGTGGAGATGAGGCAGCAACCTCCGACGGCCAAAGCCTTTGCTTCTTGGAGAGCAGGGAGCAGGGTTTTGATAATTCATTCATAGGCTCACCGTCACCTCTCAAAAACACGACAGAAGGCAAAAGTTGAAGGAGACCTGATGCCATCTTTGATCATGGAGGGATGAACATATGGACACCAGCCACATTTGCCATGAGCCAATGGATCTTTCTCCCTGAGCATCGCCCGGGCATCGCCATGAATCTATCGCCATGGATCGTCCCTATCAGGATGTCTACGAGATCCCTGTGAAGTTGATCATCAACTCAAAAGAGGGACAGATGAGTGTGGAGGCGCCGTTTTCCGTGTTTTTCCGCGCCGTTCCATGTGCAGAGACTTTGCCGTTCCGCGCGGTCGAGGTGGTTTTGGGGCGGGTTTTGTTTTCTATTTGTCCGTTCTGGTCAAGCGAAGATGGGTCCTCAGGCACTGGCGTGTATTGACCTGCCACATTGTAGTCCTTCACCACTGCACTTCATGATGAGCGAAAAAATCGAGTACAAAACGGCTCTTTTCGTTGAGATAAATTGGATCCAACTCTTTTCTGCATGCAAACGCGGCAACACCTCCATTCAAATTGCGCTCAAGCCGGGAACGAGGTCCCCAGCCCTGAGCTGCCAGCGCAGTTGCAATCAAAGATGCTCGGCCAAAGGGGCGCGTTCTACAGGTGTCCCAAAAAACATGTTTGGATCAGAGAAGGACGAAGTAGACCAAGTAGACTTGCTTTGGAGGACACTGGCTTGATTTCCAAAGGACCTGCCGAAAAGAAGTTCCTTCTGGATCTCTTCAGCAGCTTCTCCTTTCCGACGATGTTTGTAGCGGCCGGGAAGGGAATACGTTTGTTTCTTTGCTTGGACTTCGGAAGCTCCAATCCTAAGGATCGCCGAAGCAGTTGTGAGCCCAGATGCTGTTCTCAGACAGGAAAAAAAGGTTTCCCAATTTGAACAAGGAGCTTGCTTTTGTTTGTCAGACTTGATGTGAAGTGTGATGAGATGGGACAAACTTCCAGCCAACTGTTAATAATGCCAATAGTGCAATCTTGAACAGCTGGCACTATCAGCATTTATAATAAGTTTTTTGGTTTTGGGTCTTATCAAGTTCAAGGCACTGCACCACTTGCACCATAGGTGTTGGCGACCTGGAAGAAACAGCTCAATAAGAAAGCAGCGCAAGGGCTTCCCAGATTTGGAGGTTCAAGGTGGGTTTGGATTTAGGAGTAAGATGGTCAACATACTGACTGAAGACCTGATCATTTGTGGTTTGGGCTTCATAAAGAGATTGATTAACCTCGTGTCCATGGACTCGCATGCTAAATTGGCCGAGCCGACATGGTCATTAACCTGCAGTTATGTCAGTCTCGGACTGACTGTCAACCTGGCCTTTCATGGAGTCCACCTCCTGTTTGTAGAGGAACATGGTTTTCCAAGAAGCCCCGTTCGTAGCGTCCGATCGCTCCGTTCGTAGCGATGCCCTTTGTTACTAGTAGCTTCTTGCTCCTGGTAGTAAGGCCGGGGGCCCCGTTCGTAGCGTCCTTGCTACTAGGTCCATCATTTTCCACTTCCATGTAAGTTCCAGGTAGTGCACACCCCGTCGGATCTACTCATTGGTAGTGCACATCACCCAGCCCGATCGACCGGCTGTGCTGGCTTCAGGCCGTGGGGAATTGCCGCCACCTTTGAATGGGCCACTTGAATGGGCGTTTTTTTTCATGGGCCAACCAGGATGGCTAACACACAGCTGTTCCAGCTGGCTGAAAAAGACTTCCACGATTTCCACCACAGTCCTGCAGTTTCCACATGAGACTTTCTAAGTGTTTCCCAAAAAGGGGTGGAGATGTCAAGACGAGTCTCTCGGCAGGAGATGATTTTACTGACTGACTGCGACCGGTTACGGGACTGAGGAAATGGAACCCTCAATAGAGATTCGTTTGGATCCAGCCACCCTCATTCTAGCACCAGCGCAAGTGAGTTGAAGTAAACCTGCTCCAACTTGCAACCAGCTCCATCGATGAAAACTGCTCCGAAATGAAAACTGGTTTTGGACGAGATCCACTCATCGGGATGTGGCGAGATCCACTCTGATGGATCAGGGTGATGGATCAGGGCTAATGAGGGTTCTATGAACATCTCACCCTTGTCCTCCGGGTGACTGAGGAGGTAGGGTGCTCTTGAAAAACGGTTGAAGCCATGGTTGTCGGGTCATTCCTCATCTCCAAGAGCAAAGCCATCGGGCCCTGCCATGTTGAGGTTGCAAGTAACTTTGCGAAGCTTTTGATGCTGGACGCAGAGTGCCTGCACCCTTACGCTCGGAACTCAGTTGGGCCGGCAACGAAAGAATTGGGCTCACGATCTGTGGGCTCGCACAGTCGTGCTAAGCAATGTTGTACATCAATCTATCGTCATCCATTCCATAGCCCCTTTGGATGATTTGGAAGATGTCTTTGGGGAGGAACAATGGGGTGGCTACATTGTCAACAAGTGCTATGAACCACCTTTCGTCAAGGGGGTGAGCGCTTTTTTTGTGGGACCTGTGTGAGACTGACTGATGACAGTTATATATATATATATAGATTGAGAAGAGTGAGCCTATTGCATGACCCAACACACTGGAGTTTGGCACCAAGGCTGACTTTGCACATAGACACAAACTGGTATTTTGACTAATTCGCAAGCATGTTTTGGCTGTACAGGGAACCAACTTCACCAGAACAAAAGACGTTCGCAACGTCAACCGTCAAACGTCAACCTTTGTGGCGAGCTTGTTTTGAAGCGCCTGCACCTAGGAGGGATGTGATGAGAATGACTGCACCATGAGGAGGCACAGGATACCGGGTATTGCAAGGTACCGAGCTTGCGGTGGTACCGGGGTTACCGAGGTAGGTAGCTTGGTCTCCGCTCGGTTTTTTCTCCAAAACGACACCTCCGCAGTGAATGCTCAGAGCATGAATCTGAACATGACTTTTCCCTAAAGCATCCTGATGAGCCAACCCTTGCTTCTTGGACCTTCTTGAAAAAGAAAGTGGGATTGCTTCAAACCGTGACATTTTGTATCGGTTTGGTTTGCACCCTTGTTGTTTGAGCGCTCTGCCATTCCCAACTGCTCAAATGACCCTTTGCCCAATTTAACTTGAGCAAATTTGCATGTGTGTTATCCAATCACTGCCTGCCTGAGTTCCTGATGAGGTATGCGATTGGCCCTCCAGCAGTACAAGCAGCGGAAGAGGAGGACGACGAAGATAGCCACCCGGCCTTCCAGCGGTACTCCAAAAAGTTTTTTCCAGCAGAAAGCTGGTCTAGAGGAAGAACCTGAAGGAATGTGAACTCCTTTTATTTGATGTGTTCCTTGCTACATTTTGCTGCCAGTTTGAACCGCGTGGTGAACAATGGGTAGCTTCATGCGACGACGTGATGATGTGATTTGAAGTCAAGAAAACACACCGGATCAAGCAGGCTGGAACTTTTGTTGACCCTAATAGATCTTAGTTTTAACGTTTAGTTTTGAACAACCAGACTTCCAAAAGCCTTTGACAGCTTAGAATGTTTTGTTCAGGTGAGGAGGAAGAGGCCTCTGAAGAAGAGGATGATGCCGAAGCAATAGTCACTTGGCTGGTTACCTGGTTGGTTGCAAAGAAAGATGATCTTCGATCTTCTGTGGCAGGATTTTGAGTCCAAGATAGTCTGATAGCATCTTAGCCTGATAGCCTTGTTCTTCCTTTTCCGCCTGCAAGAAGGGGGGGAGGCCTGGGAGGGCAATTCAGAACCTTCGCCAAACCTTCGCCATCAAGTGGAAGTCAAGGCTTTGCACCCTCACTTTGGGTTTCGACTCGGGTTTTCTCAGAGGCCACTGCCATGGCTGGCCACTTTGGCTCTGTTTGTTTAGGCTGAGGACACAGTTCAACGATCATACAGTCATACATTTCAAGAAGATCTAGCTCTTGATGCTGATGTGAGGCACCACTGAAATATTTGACATGTATCGGATAACCTCAAGTCCCCATTCTCCACAAAGCAGTCGCCATGGATGTGAGCGATGAGTATGCGCTTTGGCAGAGTCTAGGCTGGGCCTGGTAAGATGGAATGCGGAAAAGGCTCCTACAAGTATTCCGAAAGACATCCAAAGACTAGGATTCGCGGGCACGGCCAAGACGAAAGACATCAATCCATCATCTATGCAAACAAGAAGACCTCCGTGCAGCTGCTTCAGGGAAAGGGGGCATCACTTGGAATTCACGATTCAAGTCGCTGGGTGTGGCATCCCACCGCTTCTGGACCTCGGGACAGGTCATTGGTCGGTGTACGCGGAGTGGTTTGTTGCCTTGCTCTTGGCTGCAGCCGCCACTTGGACGTGGGTGGAGGGCCCTGTACAAAAAGTGAGTTTGGTTTGTTTTGGTTTGTTGCCTCGGGCTGTGATTTCGGATATATGATAAAGACTAGGCCAGCAGGTTTGCAGGTTCCGAAGACAGGTCGGTAGATGGAAGTCCTAGAAGTACTGTATCTAGTGTCCTTGCTCCTAGTAGTAAGGCCAGGAGCCCCTAGTAGCGTCCTTGCTCCTAGTAGCGATGCCAGGAGCCCCTAGTAGCGTCCTTGCTCCTGTCATTTGTAAAAGTCAGAACTTTTCCAGACTCAACTCCCCTGGAGCCACTCTGACTCTGATTGCCAGGCAGGACACCAGAGATATCCGATATGGTCAACCTAAACAAATTCGCGGCCTCGGTCCCGCGTTGCCCTCGCGGCCCGGTTTTAGGTGGCGAGTGCGTGGCGTGGTGCTTGGCTGGTGCTCGACGCGACTCTGTGGCCGCAGAGGTGCCACGGAGGGTGAAGTGCACCGGGCAGAAGGGACGAAAGGAAGGAAGAAGCATCAAGAAGCAAGATGAAGCCAGAATTTGGGGAGACTGAATCCAGGGAACTCAGATGTGCTCAGGGTATTTGAGGGTAACAATTCATGATTCTGTTGGTAAGTATCCGCAATTTTTTGCGCGATCATTGTGTATTCCTGATGCTTCGCGTCGACCGCCGCCCACACCTTCTTTTTTTTTCGGTTGTCTGGGGAAAGACTGCTGGAGTGGACAGGGGAGGTCGGGAGTGGTGTCCAAAGAGATGGCTTGTTTGCCGCAGCGTCTATGGCCATGTTGCGGCTGATAAAGCCAATTCAGGCTCCAAGTTCGACCGTTTTGTGGCCTTGCCCCCGTTGGTTAGTCCACATTACATCATGTCAAGGCTAGCTTGATCGTTTGGTGACCCTGTGTTGAGGCTACTTTGGTTTTTTTTGCAATAATGTACCTCCAATAATGCTGGTTATGCGTTGCTGGTCAGGAGGGTTTTTCAGCATCGTGGGTGTCCGTTTTTTGGCTTGTTTGGGTTCTTGCAGAAATAGTCCAAAAATCTACCTCCAAAACGCTCTCCACCATGGCCCTCGAGGCGTAACACGTTTTTCCCGAAACAAAGAAGGGCCCCCCCCCTAGGAGAGCTATGAACTGATTACGATGTGATGATTGACTGACGATGACTCCAGCTTGACCCGCCCCTAACACGCCCTGCACCGCAAGCGGTGTGGGCGGACTTTATCTATGTTTATCTACATGGTCGTCGATGATCAGTTCAATGGGGCTCCCCTTATGCGCGAGAATCCACTGTCACATTGAGGCCCCCCTTGCACCCTCGTGCATGCCTCGCTACTTTGACAGCTCGGCCCGGCTCCGCGCCGGAAGAAAACCATCCCCTCCGCCCTGGCGCGCGGGCGGATCTTGACGCCATGGCCAGCATTTTCGATGCCGCCGCGTCGGGCGACATTGGTGCCATGAACGGCTTTATGGATGCCGACGACTTCGAGGTCGATGCCAAGGATGCGCTGGGGAACACGGCGCTGCACTGCGCCGCGAAGAACGGCGAAGCGGCTGCCGGTGGACTGCTGGTGGAGTGCAGTGCTGATGTGAACCTGGTGACTCGGCTCAGACGAGTGAAGACGTTGGGGGGTTCCCATCATGATGAGCCAGATGAACCAGTCCAGGGAATTCTAGATGTCGAGTGTCTGGCTCTTTCATGTTCGAAATTTATTCTTTCATATGTTTTTCTTCCAACTTTTCTTCTTTGCAACTTTGCACTTCAGCCTCTTTCCTCGCCTTTTTAGGAGGATGCGCATGGGAATACTGCACTGATCTTGGCGGCCATCCACGACAAGCGGCTTGTGGCCTCTATGCTCCTGTGGGGTGGCGCCGAACGAGACCTGCAGAACAAGAGGGGCAACACCGCCTTGCACGAGGTCAGACCTGTTTTATTTGATTCTCCCGATAATTTATTTGAGGTCTCTGGAGTTTCTATGTTTTTAAGAAGAGCAGACGTGTTGAAATTATGTAGTAACACATATCACATATTTATATGTAATTCTCAGTCATGTTTGTTCTATCAAGTTGGGGGAAGGCCATGTACGGGTGAACCCAATCTTCAACACCAAGTCCCCCAACGCAATGCATCCAGCGCATCTTATTGACACTCCAACAACTTGCGACAAGGCGGCGATCAGTGGTGCAAAGGATGTGGTCTATCTCATCGTGGAGAATGGGGGTGAGAGATCTGTGAGGCCAAATCGAAAGTGATGTGCCAAGATGCTTCTTCGGTGACCAATATATCATCAGCATGGGTACTGTGTGAATTCTGGATGGGCCATGGGTACTGTAAGGTTTGTTTTGCCTGTACACGTGGAACCGGAACCTCGCTTGTTCACTGCTTGGAATAGATAGTTGTTTTTTGGCAGCCGGATGATCAAATTGGTCGGTCGAGACTTGCAACTGTTTCATGTCAAGATGGTTCACAGGCCTTCAGTGCATCTGGCTAGTCTTTGGCCTTGCGGCTCAGCTTGTTGCCTCAGAAATCTACTCACCCACCTCAGGAAACACTCCGAATTATAGACTGCCTGAAGCATTGAAACACATCAACACCTTTGTTTAAAGACCAAAGAGGGAGCCTTCAAACCAAGAACGAGCCTTCTGATATGCTTTTCTTCATCCAGTTTGCACCCTCCAAACTTGGAGGATCAAGAATGAAGATGGGAAGACGCCCTTAGATTTGGCCCATGAGAAGGGTGCCAGTGCTGAGCTCATCGAGCTGTTGGAAGGGGCTGAGAAGGAGATGCAAGTCTATGCAGCCAAGGCTGAGAAGGCTGAAAAGGAAAAGGCAGCTTCGAATGACATGATGAGCCCAGACTAGGTTGAGGTGAAGACAGCCGCGAGAGTCAGTGACAGCTAATGAATCCATACATCCTAAAACATGAAGGTTTTTACCAGGGCCAGGGCTTCTAAACTTCCAACAGCTGTGCACATAGGAACTCTCATCATCACCGTCCTCACCTGCCGTTTTCGGGCTCCTTTCAAAGGAAGGAATACAGCCCCTGCATACAGCCCCTGCCCAAACCGCCCAGTTCGGCTGCTGAAATAGACGTGGCCATTTTCGCGCAGAGAGCAGCAGACGGAGCATCAGAGACAGTGCAGAAAGGCCAGCAAAAAGGGGTGAAAGGCCGTGTGCCATCGGTCATGGCAGCAGGAAGTCTGTTTGATTGGCGCATCAGTCCGCAGATCCTGCAGCGGACGTTCGCACTCGTCGACCGGTCAACGCACTCGCAGCGGACATCCGCGGATGTCCGCGTCTCTGAGCGGCATTGACCAAGAGCGGTGAGTTCTTTGAACATCTCTGAACGTTTGGTCCAAAGCCCTTTGTCTTCCTTTGGGACCACTGGGAACGGAGTGGATGGGCGGTAACTTCTCCGAGCCCAGCCACAGTTGGGAAGGCAACTCGATGCTTTTTAGATATCTTGCCCCAAGGAAAGCAGCACATGTCAGAAGAGGTATCCTCACATACCCAATCCTCTTGCCTCAATGACGACTTCAATTTCCTTTTGCCTCTTGCATCATCTCTTCCAAACCCACCATCTCCACCATCTCCATCACAGACCCGCTGCCTCCGCAGCGCTGGGCCTCGGCTGGGGCGTGGTTCTCTTCGGGATCTTGGGCGACCCGACGGACGCCGTGTCGCCGTGTCACGCGGGAGCCGGGACTGGTGTTCTTGGCCGGGGAAGATCGAGGATCGATGGCCGTGCTGCGTGCTGCCGGGCAAATGTTTCATGGAATCACCCAGATGTTTCTTTTGTGGTGGTGGGGTTTTGTTGGTTGGAACTGTTGGGAGTTTTACTTCTTTTTGTTGGCCCATTGTTCTTGACCTTTGCTGCTAGGTGTGTTCTGCGACCACAGAAGAATAGAGCAGACACAAAGTAATAAATTGAACTGCATATCAACAACTAACAAAGACAACAAGACGGTAGGACAACACCAACGGCCAGCACCAATAAGGCTGGATCCGCTTGTGTGATCTTGTATGCATGTAAATTGTAAATGTACCTCAGGCCGTAGGATGTTGACTCTCAGCATTGAATGGATGGAATCACACACACACACTGGAGAACTGAACTTGGTACTGAATTCAAAGATTGTATAATGTTAGTTGATAGAACATGACATTCTATTATATCACATATTCTATTGTAATAGCAAAACGCATTAAACCAGAATGAGATATGAACCACCAAGGCTTCCTGCAGCCTTGCCTCG